TGGGGCTAGGCACAGGTCTCTCTTAGGGAAAGTATATAAATGGGGCAGATATATTAAGCAATAGAGGAGGTAGTTGGGCATTGTTGGTGTTTTATATGTGCTGTGTGGATTGGAGGTGATATATGAAGCTAGGAACAGTTAGACAGAAATCTGCAACTGAGGACCTTTCAGGAGCAAGCAGAGATCTATCTCCAGAATAGTCAGGCTGATGGAAAAGACCGCTGGGACTTAATAGTGCAAAAGGTTTAGGAAAGAGTTATTTTCCCCTCTTTTCCTCCTCCTCTCCAGGCTAAAACAAGCCCAAGAAACACCAAAGCTGCCTAAAAGAATGAGCATATCAAAGTTGAAATGAATGTTGTAGTTTCCCTGTGTGAATTAGGGAAAGAATAAAGAATCAATTAAGCTGCAAAATTTGTACAAAAATGTATGCATTGGTTATTAAATTACATCTACTGAATGCTTAAGAGAGAAACACAAATTATTTACTTGAAAAGGAACAATAAACCTTACTGCATTATTTGCATCTGGAAGAATTTTATTTCTTTTCTGAGCCTCCATCAAATACTCAAAAGGAGTTCTTGTGAATCAGGTCATCATAAATGAGTTGTAACATTATCTGGAATGAGGTCGACCCCAAGGTCTTTCACTCACTAATGAAGGCTATTCAAGGACAATAAGATAATTCTGGAGAAAATCATTTTAGAGGAGACAAATTCAGTACAGAATAGGATCTTCTACAGCATTCACAAAGAACAGATATTAATTCTCATACAGTATTTCTAGTCCTATAACTTATGGAGACAAAAGTGGGTGGAGAAACACCTGATTTCTAATTCTGTGGAGAACAGTTAGCACATTGAACTGCAGGCAATGAAGCTCAGTGTGTTCATTACAACCTTCACCATGGGATAAAATCACTAGATGGGAACAACAGGGAGGGAACAAATTAAAAATAAAATGGTAATACTCTGATGGATAAAATAGAACCGAAGACTTTGACTGGAATTTTAAACTCTGGACATATGTCTAAAAAAACAGAACAAAGCTGACGAAAGCAAATATTAGTAAATATACTATAGTAACAGCAAAACAGAGAAAAGATGAATCTGAACTGATCTCACAACTAAATCTAGGAATAGTAGATTAAGACATGATTTTGATTCTGCCAAGTAGTTGTCAGACTGTGCTACTTCTCTTTGGGTGTCCAAAAATGGACTTATATTCTTTTGGTTGCAAAGAAAAAAAGGAGCTTTGTTGGTAACTGATGAAGACTAGTACTTAAATCTTTGTCAATATTCCCATTTCAAGTTAGAAGATTTTTAATTTTTTGACTATTTTTAAAATTTACATTCATAGCAACATTTTACTATCTCATGTGATGGATTGAAAGAAGTTTTTTTTTTTAGCATTTCTCACTATCCTTAAGTCACTTTATAACTTTAATCGTCAATGTGGTACCTATGATGTTTCCTTCTATGTCTCATTTTGTTAAAAAAGAAAAAAAGTTTGTTTTACTTGTATTATTATTGTTATCATCATTACTCTGTTGCTTTGCATGTATACTGAGAGTTTCTGCACTGGAGACAAATTCCTTGTATGTCTAATCACACTTGGCCAAATATAAGTATTCAATTAAATTCAGTTCAGTTCAATTCAACTCAATTCAACTTAATTCAAATTCTTTTTATTTAAAGGAAACAAAATATTGATCTCCAAGTACATCTTTATTTCCAGTAATGTTTCCAGATATCACGTGAGCCCCACAGACATTTGTAGAAAATAAAACTGATGGGTGACTGCAGTATTTTGCTTGGATATGTGACACATCTATCCAGAAAAATACAAACGTGATATGGATGATGGTGGTAAGAGAAAGCACTCTAGGAAATTAGATTTGGGAGAAAAAGTACAAGAGTTGTGTGGAATGGTCTGCTGAGTAAAAGGCTTGATATAGCTGTATGAATGTTTGAATTTAAAGAATAATTATAAATGCAGTTCTTTTCATCTGAGCAATTACAGGTGTCCAAAAGCATAGCAACATCTTATGGTACACATATATTTTCTACATTGGGTCCCTGATTCAAGGGAGAAGCCAACTTTTCTCCAATGCCCATCATTCCACAAAAAGAAACATTTTTTTAAAAAAATTATCCTGCCTTTCCCCCCATTTGTACAGGTAATTTACTCATAGAGATGCATGCTTCATAATAAATGTATGTTTTAAAAGATATTTTGCTAAGGTTATGTTTTCAATTGAGAATGTGTCAGGAACACATATATTTTTGTGATTTTTTTTTTAACATTCTGACTGAAAAATTGACCAAGTTTGACAAAGGCTATCATAAGTAGCTGGGAAGTTGCTGACAAGTTCAACAAAATTTGCTTCCCACCACTGAAAGAAGGGAATATCAGGCAGATTTATTTCTCCTTGACATCTACCATGCTGGTGTGAGAAACAACAAGGCTGCCAAAGGCCTTTTTATGTTGCTCTATGCTTTGGCTCATAATCAAGGTTTTGTAGGTCTTTTGGCAGGTGATTATAATTAGAGCCTTACCTGCCCTTTGCTCGGTGCTCTTTGTTTATGTGTAATTATGCCTTATATTTTTCCAATGACATTTGCTGTTTTACTGATTGCTATATACCACCCAGAGTTGCTTCTTGTGAATTGGGCAGCCATATAAATATGATTTATAAATAAAATATTGTAATACTCTGTGGTACGAAACTTGGACTTGTTATGTAGTATGCAGATTTGTGTTTATAAGGATGCCCTTATAAGCTGTTCAATCAAAGTTTTAGAGTTCCCAAAAACCAATATTCCATGTCATCAGTGAAAATTCTCAGTCAACCAGAAAGAATTGTCTGGAAGTGGAAGCATGGCAACTGGACTTATTTTCTTGTTGGTTTCACTGCTCATTCAAGCAGCTTCTTCAGTCTGAATAAGTTTTAATTTTAGGAAATGGCACATTCCAACAACTCTCTGCCTACTGAGATTACATCTAACCATCTTGTTCAGACTGAAGAAGCTGCTTGGATGGGTAGCAAAACAACTCAAACCAACAAGAAAATAACTCCAGTTGTCATGATTCAATTTCCAGACAATAATCCATCTCCTTCACTCAACCTGCTTATTCAGCTAGAGTTTGACTCCATTTCTATGGATTTTTTTTATTTGTTATTTGGTGAACTCTAAACATAGTATAAAAATTACTGCAGTAACTGTGCTTTTCTTAGAAACGGGGAAGAGAAGAAAGCAGATGATAGATGGGACAGCAGCCACAAGAATGACGATCATGTGAATGGAAGGGGGGGACTGGAGAGCAGGAGTCAATGGGAGGGGTTAAGGGCGCAACCCCACAAGAGAAAGGATGACAACTGGGAGGTGGATGGGAGGTACAGAAAGGAGAAAGGGGAGAGAGAATGTATCATAGCAGGACAGCCCGAAAAAGGGGGGAGAAAGCGCAAGAGGAGACAACCCAGACAAGGGGGGGAAAGTGCGAGGAGAGAGGGCAGCTGAGAGATACAGAATTCCTGATTAATCAGAAAAGGGGGGGGGGAAAGTTCCCCCAACTTAGGATCATATGAGGGAAGAAAACATAACAACACACACGTAGGCAGAAGATGCAAGAAAAGCACAGTTACTGATATGGAAGTTACGACTAGAATGCAACTTGACCAATCAGGACCGGTGACGAGATCTAAGAGCCAAGCGCAAGCAGCGGTTTACCTATAAATAAACTCTCCCATCGACTAACATTGTACCCTGACGATGTTGGCAGTCGCCGACGAAAGCTAGGTGATTTATTGTATTAAACTTTTATAGTTTTATAATATTCCTGGTGCTCATGTGTTTTTTGGTTGCTTAGAAGATATATATATATATATATATATATATATATATATATATATATATATATATATATATATAACAATTTTGCACTTCATTGGTTAGATGACCTAATAATTGGTATTTGAATATAGATCTTTTTAACATTTATATTTTATTGTGTTCTACTAACCTAGATGAAATGTTAATATATATTACTAATCCATGTGTGATATGCCTTATGCTAAATAAATAAATAAATAAATTGTGAGAATAAAATGAAAGGAAAATCTCCATTCAGGAAAGGATGGATAATAAATATAACAAACTAATAAATAATAGCATGGAAAAACAATTCCTCATGTCCATCTTGTACTCTTTCTCTATGTATTTCATTAGCTACAGTGGGATATAGGACTTCAGTTTGATCCTTCTAATGCTTTTATGAAAAAGAATCCAGTAACAGGACCTGTAAATTCTTGTCAGAAACATCAACACCTAAGATTTTGTGCCTAATATTCTCCAGTATTTCAGTTTCAGGGCTTGATACTGTAAGCAAAGTTATTTTCTATTTTCTGTTCATGCCCTACCAAATAACTCTCCATAACAGATTAAGAAGAGAAGATTGAGGGAATTCCAGACATTGATCCATATCAAGATACAGAAGTATTTATGAAATATACTAATGCATCTTCCCTAAAACCTCCGTCCCCAAAACTATGTTAATTTGAAAGTAGTTCTTAGATTAATTCATGCTTAGAAGGTTGAAAGTAACAAGTAGCAAGACAAGTTACTAGACATTATACCATGAATTGATTGTCCTCCTGTTTTAGAATCTTTCCTCATTATTTGTTATAGTTTACTTTCTGTAAATTTCCAAGTTTAATTCAGCTTTCTCATTTAAGCCTAGACAGTAAGAACCTGGAATCCCTAGGGGCTGAAAGAGAATACAATACCATTATACAAGAAACTATTTTATTTTCAAAATGTATTTAAAATGGCAGTCCTGGCTACATGAACCCTGCTTCCTACGTAATGAAAAGAAGCAGTAATGGAAGGAATGGAAGTATGTGCTAAGATATTATTGGGTCACATAAAAAAATAGCTGTCATTGCTATTCTTGATGAACTTGTGAATATATCTCAAATTTTATTCTCAAATTTGTCATCTTACTGCCTTGTGCTGAATCTGAGCTTGTTGGCTTGATGACACGATTCGCATCTTCATGAAGACTGCCAAACCAGTCTTTTAGACGGGACGCAAGATTTCGCAGTTCCTTGTCTGTGCAAGCTGCAAAAAGAATGACAGCAATTATATGACAGATAATATCATAAACATAGCCTTATCAAATATTAGTTTTGTTTACTGCCTGAAGAATAAACTTTGATTCCAAGAGAACTGAATTTCAAAGAGAAATTGTATAGAAAGAACACACAAAGCATCAAGACAAAATTTATTATTATGCTTGAATTTTGACTAAATGGGAGACATAATTTATGATGTACAATCTGGACACAAATCCATCTTCTGTTGCTTCTCAGTGATGCGTGGGATTTTTCTATTTTGTTTTTTTTGGTAATAGGTATCACCTTTTAGATCTTCCAAGAAAGGATATCAATCAAACAGCAGTAGGGAAAAATAGCACTGCTATTAGAACAAGACCCTGGATATAATTTATCACCTTGTTTGGTTTAGCTTAAAGTTATTGATATGCCAGTAGGAAATCTTTTAATGTAAGGTTTCATGTTTTTCAGTTTGATGGCATTTTTAAATCCTTTCTCTATTCTTAAAGTTTATTTAAACATGTAGCAGGCACTAAAAAGTACACAAAAACATACAAATGTTATTGTGTGTAAGTGTCTGTATGCATTTGTAATCTTTAATACTGAAATATTCAATAATTCTGTCCAGAATAAAATTTGTATAGATGGAATAATTCATTAGAAAGTGTGTTGTTGGTGTACAGTAATTAAAAAAGAAAAGCATGAATAAAGCAATCTTAAATTAAATCATTCTTCATGTGATGTTAATTTTTCATCCAGTGCTAAAAGCTAAACTTTAGTTTTCCAGCCAGCATTGTTATAGCAAAAATAGCAGTTTACAACATAAATTAAATTAATTTCTTATATTGCACCATTTTATATGTCTTGGGAAAAATAAACAATAAGCTTATATTAACATCAATTATTAAATATTGTTTGTTAATCCTTCCAGTTTCCTCAAGATCTATCAGTCAACATTAAGAATCACATGGTTACTACCAGCAGAGATAGAACATGTATTGATTTGACCATAATCCCTGCAACGCAATCAACACATTAATATAAAACAATTCTCAGGAGGTATCCCACCATTTATAATTATTTTTATAGTCAATTCTTGATGATATCCAAAATAAAAGGAATTGAAAAGGATTTTTATAGCATAACGAATTTCCTGTTGATTCCTTACATTCCAAATCCCAAGTTGTCTTCCCATACTATTAAAAGGTTTGTTGTAATTGATGCTAGGCAACAATACCAACCTGCCCTTGAAAAACTAAGAAGTTGGGTAGATGTTGGGTGGGAGACCTACCTGGAAAGTGTAAACTGTAGCCAAGACAGGAAATTTGGGGAATCCTAAAAGGCAAACTATTTCTATATTGGTTCCAAGAAAATTATATGGAATTTATCTCAACAGTTTACCATTCTATTCTAGATGTACATAATACTGAATAGACTCATTTGATTCTAGGATATAAACTGTTAAGTGTTAATTTCAGGTGTAATAATACTCAGGTGTAATAAATATTAGCTTAAGACAAAAATTGAAAACTGAGTTCTTAAACTCATATTAATTTAAGAAAGAAAACTGAACTTGTATAATTTGAATTTCTGGCTGATGTTTCTTTGAAATACATTTCACAGAAATAACAGACACTGAAAAAGCACAGAAATAGTAAACACTGAATTTCCAATCAGTGATAAAGTGTCTAATCCTGTAATGCTCCAAGTTCCCATTTCTTGGACACATATTTATTCATGCATTAAAACTTGTATGATCAAGGAATGAGAGAAAAAAAGGATCAATGGTCAGAATGGTATTCCCTTTTCAAGTTCAAATTTCAAAAAGTAAGTTTTAAATACAGATTTGTGATCTCAGTATGAATAACTAAACACCACGGAGAAACTGCATCAGATGAAAATTTACTCTTTAACTTGTACTACTAAATGTCTTTGGAATTTTGACTAAGATGAATTCATACATTTTAACTGAAAAGCATGAAAACAATTTGGTGCATATGAACCTCTCCCATACTTTTGCTTATCATTCTGGCTTATCATTTCCTTGGTCTTAGTTTCTTTAATTAATTAGGAAAGTATGTATATATATGGGTACTCAAGTAGCTAATTCTTAGCTATATACAGTATGAAGTAATAGTTAGGGTGAATGTAAGTGTCTGAAACAGGAATTAAGATTGTAGATTGAATAATTATGTTAATTGTAGGTATTCAGCCAAGCAATAATAAACAATGCTGTCATGTTACATTTTTGAATTTTTCAGAATAGGATCACAATTACATTGTTTTATTTGGTGACAACCTTTATAATAATTATCCCTCTTTATAATAATTATTCCTCTGCAATCTCTTAATGGTAATATCATTTTTTCATGTTATCTAGATAAATATATCTATTATTCGTTTCTGTTATGCAAGTTTATTGGGGAATATATATATATATATATTGTGCAAGCAGCCCAGGTTTGAATCTCAGAAGGGTGTAGCTGGCTGATGAGAGCTAAGGAGCTTGAAATAGCTATACCAGCTTCCCTTTAACTCTTTGTTAGCAATCCAAATTTAACACACACAAACAAACACACACACATATATATACATACACACACACACTCATTCACACACAAACACACAAATATATATATATATATATATATATATATATATATGTGTGTGTGTGTGTGTGTGTGTGTGTGTGTGTGTGTGTGTGTGTGTATGTATGTATAACACACACACACACACACACATAATGTTATAAATTTCTGCTAAATTAGATGTTCCAGCTTTTCATTATCTTTAGTGATAGAATTCACATATTCAGGGCATTTTATTATTCTTCACATGAGTTCATTCAAAAAATTAGGTAACATTATTCAAATACAAAAGAAGATTTTCCTCCATACTTCACACAGTAATCCATGAATTAATGGACATGCTTCACATAATAACTTACAATATAATATCTCCGCTCACCGCATATTCTAATATAGTCCCTTGAACTATCTCTATACAATCCAAGGAATGTCATTGTGTTGTACAAAGCTAGGAAATTGGATTTTTATTTAATGCAAGACATTTTTAAAAATAGTTTAAAAATGGAGCAAGAGAGAGAGATAGCATAGCAAAGGATAGAAGTGGTAGTCACAAGGATTATATATCAAAACCAAAATCAAATTCAATTGCCTGAGCCAATATAATTAAAAGATTGTATCAGAACATTCAGCAAAATGGACTTTTATCTATGAAGCCAAAGAACAATCTTAACAGCCAAAGAGCAATCATAGCAGCCACATAATGTATATACGTGTGTGTGTGTACAGCCATACACACAGATACATATTTATATATTTGTTGTTGTTGTTAATTGCAATGTCGTGTCTGATCCATTGCGACCCCATGGATAACATTCCTCCAGGTCTTCCTGTCCTCTACCATCTTCTGGAGTCCATTTAAGTTCACGCCTACTGCTTCAGTAACTCCATCCAGCCACCTCATTCTCTGTCGTCCCCTTCTTCTATTGCCCTCAATCTTTCCCAGCATTAGGCCCTTCTCCAGTGAGTCCTTCCTTCTCATTAGGTGGCCAAAGTATTTGAGTTTCAACTTCAGGATCTGGCCTTCTAAAGAGCAGTCGGGGTTGATCTCTTCATATTTATATACACATGCACATAAACAAGAGAGACATACATCCACCTGATGGAATCCCAATCAGCTAGTGTCTACAATAATTCTGTTTTGCATTCAGTTTGCAAAATATGCTTGCAAGATTTGTAACAAGCTACTTTTACTCTGTTCGCTTTTTAGCAACAACCCTGTGCTATTATTTCACGTTCAGCCAGTTTATATAAAGATACTGGAACCATATATACGAAGGTAAATCTTTTTCATATCAAACTTGGTCCTTTGATTTGTCGTACCTAACTGTATGTACATTACCTTAATTTGTTAGTATCTCATCATCCATTTTAGTACACTACTTCAACTTTCCAAGACAATCTTTGAACTACCACTTCTGAATGTGAAACCTTATATACTATGTATACTGTGTATACTGTGTACAATGTGTGGGCCTTGGATAATTTATTCTTTTATTCCATGATGAGTACCTCTTCTGTTCCCTCATCTAAACCATTTGTGAAGATATTGAAAAGTACTGGGCCTCAGAGAGAACCTGGGGTACCCCAGTTAGCAACTGCTTTCAGATGCTGCTGAAAGGACTACAATTGTGTTCCTTTGTGCTGCAAAGCACTTTTTAAAAAACTGAATTCTGAGGTGACGCATTAACCCTACTTATCAACATACCTATATTATCTTTTGGTGCTTAAAAGAAATTGAAATGATAATTTCTGGCTCTGCTTGTATTGAGAATTTGCGACTACAAAGCAGTTAATGGAACATCAGGCAAAAGGCAAGAAATTATTCTGCTGCTTTAATTTAATGCTAACTTTTCAGTCTGATGACAGGCTCAACAATTGAAGCTTCAGTATACAGCAGGACTAAGCTAGGGCTCTTTTTGAGTAATGTTTATGTAATTGTATAAATATTTGTAGATCTGCCTCCCAGCAGAACTACCATTATTATTTTAGTGAAATTAAATGCATGTCTAGTATCCTTAGGCATGGTAAGTTTCTGGTTCTTGAAAATAGCTTAGAAGGCTAAATGAGCGGTATCAAGTCTTTTAAAACTGCCTGCCAGGTTCTGCATGCTTATCTGCTTACCTGCATACATTTCTCTTTCAGAAAGCTCAAAGCCCTTTGGCACATACAGTATATTAAATATTATAATGAAAAGTTGAAAGTTTGGAGAATTCAGATTGTTTTGCTCCATGCTGAACTGTTCATCAGTCTAAAGCAGAAAGTATGATAATCCAAGCTATCTCAGCATGCATTTTAATTATAATAATGAACAATATTTGAGCAGTCTGATTCAGAGATCGAGATGAAATTCAGATGACAAATGATATATTCCGTATAGATAAGAAAAGGACTGCAAATCAATATTGTAACGTGTACCTAATTCAGAGGCGGTGCATTTTTAAAAAAACTATGTTATAGATTAATGGGTTGGAAGGAAATGGTCTTTCAAATCAAGCTTTTCATAAAGGCTGGAAGTACTTCTTTTGAGAGATCCTGATGGCATCAACTATGATAACACTCAGGAAGCTAATGAAGACCTGGAGGTTCTCCCAGGACATTGAATAGGTTGGCAGTGGAGCTTCTGCTGTATGCCTGTCTTCTGGCTATAGAGGAATATTTCTCTTTTATGGCGTTGTTTGTGATTTTTAAATTGGAAGAAACTCAGAATTGTTTAGAAATCGGGTGGCTGTCAATAAACAAACAAATAAATAAATGAATAATAAATAGGAAAGGGACATAGTTTTTCTCCCCTGAAATGCATATATGAGCGATTCATATTTACAGGAGTTTCCAGAGAACTGTCCACCTCTGAGTATTGTCACTGATCAACCTGCTAGGAAGCAAAGGTTTTCTCTGAGTAACTGCTTTAAGTCTTCCCCTCACACCTGATCCTATAAACAAAGTCAAAGAGAATAAGACTCTATAACAGTAGCTGTGAGATGAATAGTGTTTTCCTAGAGCAGAATATTTTAAATTAAAAATTAAGTTAAATTAATATTTTGTTCTCGGGACCCCCTTCCCATATTTAAAAATTGGAGAAGGGTTGCTTATGTTAGTGAAGCCACCATATGTTTGTATGGGTTATATTTATCAATATTTACTGTATTAAAAATTAAAACGGATGGATTTGTAAAAATATTTATTTATTGAATCATGTCAAAATAACAGCCTTGAGGCCATTAGACTTTAACATAAATAAAGTATTAGTGCATGGAAAAAACTTTGGAATTTTTAATCAATAAAAAATAATAATAGTGAGAAGACTGACATTGTTTTAATTTTTTTTTAAATATCATCAATCTGTGGCAAATAATTTTTATTTTGCAGATTCCTGAATGGGTCTTGGGGGATTCTTCAGACTATATTTTGAGAGAAACTGCTCTGTGAGTAGACATGTAAGATATGAAGGATACCAGATACATTAGGGCAGACTGTCTGTTCCATTCACCTCTAAACAAAATAGAGGTAGGATATTCCTATCTATTTGTTCTATGTTGTTAAAATATAAACCCAAAGAAATTAGAAAAAAAAGCAAGACAATAGCAAGAAACCCTGCTATATCTGAACCAAAACAAGAATCTCCAGTAAAAAAGGAGATTGCCCATCCCCATCCTTCCCCTTCCGTTCCCTTAATTCCTTCCTCCAATTATTTTGCTTGTAGGAAGTTTGAACAGAGAAAGACGGTGCAAACGTTGGCAGGAAGTTGCAAGTTCAAGGCCTTCCTTCCTTCCTTCCTTCCTTCCTTCCTTCCTTCCTTCCTTCCTTCCTTCCTTCCTTCCTTCCTTCTTTCCTTCCTTCTTTCCTATCTCTGTATTTTAACTTTCTCTTTCAGTACAGAAAAAGTCTCTCTGAGACAGAGGGAATGTGAGGTGCTTGGGATAAAAGCTATTTTCCCTTTGCCCTTCAAGTTTTCTTATCTCTGCAATACCTTGTTTAGATTTTTATTCTGACTAGTTCCAGAAGGTCAGAGTAAGACACAATATAATTCTTAACAACAAAAATATTACTAAGAGAGGCAGTTTGATGAAAATTGGAATAAATGGATATAAATTGCTCAATTGCAAGGGCAAATTTTCAACAAAGGTAGTCCTCAATGACCACAATTGAGCCCAAAATTTCTGTTAAGGGAGATATTTGTTAAGTGAGTTTTGTCCCATTTTATGAGCTTCCTTGCCACAACTGTTAAGTGAATCACTGCAGTTGATAAATTATCACCACAGTTGTTAATGAATCTGGCTACCCCATTGATTTTGCTTATCAACAGGTTGCAAAAGGTCATCGGGACATAGCAACAGTCATGAGTATGAACCAGTTGCCAAGCATCTGAATTTTGATCACTGTCAAACCTGACTTGACTCCATAGTTGCTTGCATCTGCTTTCACTTGCAGTTTGCCAAACAGTGATGGGAGTAGGGGTGGTGAATTCCTCTCTGTGTGTGGGAGGCTATGGAATGCAAGAGAGCCTTCTGTTGTTGGTGAGGTGTTATCCACCAAGGTCAAGTTATGAAGAATGTTTGAGCGGTGCAGAACTGAATTCAGTTGGTGAACTATGAACTGTGGGTGGCCCGGACCAGGAAAAGAGGTTTAACCTATGTGGATTTTTTCGTAACTGACTTTGCTTCTGCTATGCGCAGATGGATCTTTCAATAAAGCTACAGTCTTGGTCATCCTAAAGAACTGGGAGTTTCTTTTGTTGAATGTGCCAAATGGAACGGTTGATAATCACATGACAATGAGGATGCCAAGGTGGTTGTAAGGGTGAAAAATGATCATAAGTCACTTTTTTCACTGCCTTGGTAACTTTGAATGGTCATTAAATGAACTGTTGTAAGTCAAGGAAGGAACTTGTGGCAAGTTACAATCCATAAAATAACCAAGTAAAATTTAAAACACACAATATCACACAGGGGCTAAAGGGACAAAAAGGCAGTCAGGTTATAGATACTGTAACAGGAGAGTAAACAGTCAGGATTTTAGACTGTACAGGTGTGTGTATAATTCCCAATTTTATCTCCACAAGGTCTTCTTTGATGGTGAAAAATAGACTGACTTACATATGGACCATGTTCTCCATTTTCAGTTGTGTGCCACAATTTCAAGATTTATTAAACTGCAATATAATTCCATCACTAGAGCTGTATCTATGATTATAGTGATCATAAAAGGCAAGATGGTGGTAGAAATGATGCACAACAACTATGCACACATATATCAAGGAAAAGTGATTCAGTTGTGGTGTTGTGCTTCCATCTTGCCATTTCTGACCTCCTCAGCATATGACCCTTGCTGTTGTTGAAATAGAGTGAATTAAATGAATACTGCTATGAATGTTTGTTGATGAACCATTTTGGGTATAGCTAAGATTATTTAGTTTTTATTCAAACACAAACATGCTTCTCTACTTAGTATTATAAGTTATATGTAGTGGAATATAATACATAAATTTATTAATGAAAGAATTACATCTTTATTATTTATTTATTGTGCATATCATAAATAGCCTAAACATGCCTATTAAATTAAATGGAATACAAAACATTAGTACAAATTCCTCTATAAGAGTTTCCCGATAAACTTAACAATCCAAAACACAAAAAGAGAGGTTTTAAAATAAAAAAAATTAAAAACCAAACAAAAAGGTACCCTGACTCTGTCACTCATGCCCAAATGCTCATCTAAATATAATTACTTTGCGAAAGACCAGTAAGTGTGATAGTCTACTGTACCACAGGGAAATTAATGTTATGACACCAATAAAAAGAACTGCTTCCTATGATGCTTGCCCTGGCAGTGTTGGAAGACACAGTCCCAGAGATAACAGTTGTGCCATGCTGGGCTTCAGAGGTTAACATTAGCATGGTGAATTCTGCTATTGATATCCATTGCAATAATTGTAGCACTGATACTATGATGATAAAATGGTTCTTATCTATCAGCTGCTGGCTACTGCATTCTGACATGTAGGCTTAGGCATATTTTTTTGCAGTTTTACACTGTAATTTTTGTTTGGAATGCCAAAAAAGCTAAACAGTTAAACTTTTTTCATCATTTGTCCTCCTTTCCATTTGTTCTCCTTTGCCTGTTCAGATACCTGGTAACCCTAGTCTAATAGTACCAGGAGTGTGCATTCCCAATGCAAGCCACCAGGAGAATGACCAATGCAGTTTTGAACTTGTGTATGTAACCCCAACACAAAGGGACCAAGTTACCCTTCATCTAGCATGTTCTGTCATTTCAGTCTTGCTACCTCAGTCACCTTCCTGAAAAAGGGTAGACCAGGCAATAGTTGTCTAAATAGTTGCCTAAACTATAAATTATATTTAAATATAGTTTTTTTAAAATTTAAGTATAGACTTAAGATTTCAAATTTTTTTAATGTGTATTAAAGTAGAACTAAGAACTTTTCTTAGTTGAGAATTTGATAAACAAGCTACTTCCATATTTGGAAACTATAACATCAAACAGGACTTGCATAAGCCAGAAGGCCTTTTCATAGTATTCTCAAACAACACATGGGGAATTCTATTAGCAACTTAAACTACAGTGTCTGGTGCATTAACAAGGTGATGCAATTTCCTTGGGAAGCTGATGACTTCTTTAATGTACCCCAAAGTCTTCCTGGTGCCCCTACTTGTACCTTAAAGAGAACTGAAACTAAAGTGATTTATTGAATATTTATTGGATATTGAATTCTATTTGAGGCTTCCAAAGTGAATTGACTCATGACGTAAATCACTTTTCCTTATTGTGACTCAAGTCTGGTTTACATATTAAAGTGAAATAGGACTAAGCTTTCTGTTAAGCCAGTGGTTCTCAACCTGTGGGTCGGGACCCCATTTGGGGTCGAATGACCATTTCACGGGGGTTGCCAAACAACGTAGTCCGCCATTTTCCCCCTTTTCCTTAGCTGTGCTACTCCCTTTTATTCTATTGGCTTTTGAAAGCCAATAGGAATTGTCCAGGCTGTCTCTGCCCTGCTGAGCCCGCCAAAAGTCCCATTCTGCAAACGGTGCTGCACCAGTTGAGTAGTCCTTGACTTACGACCGGTTGAGTAGTCCTCGACTTACGACCAGTTGGGGTCGCGGCATTAAAAAGGTTGAGAACCACTGTGTTAAGCGATATGTGAATTAGATCTAGATATGGACAGGCACAACAAAATCATTCTGAGTGGATATTCTTACACATCTTGAC